TTTCTCAGGCACACCATGCCATCAAAGTGGCAGTATCTGAGAAATGAGGGAAAGACAATGGAAAAGTGATTGACTCCCTGGGATACTCTGAAATATGAGGCGCAGCTGCAGCTATTCTGGTCAAGTTAGGAAACCCTGGTTGCTCATAATTATCTTCATTTCTGCATAGGGGTTACTTGCCAGCGTGGTGATTTGCTGTTGGTTGAAATAATGTGGAATCCTGTGCAGTCCTGGTCAGTGTTTCTTTGCCTGCTGGGTATCTGCTGAAGCTGGGGCTGCTGAGGCAGGATCTGCACCAGGGAGATACCAAATTCCTCCCAGTCCTGCAAAATCAGGGAGTGCCAAGGAATGACACGGTGATACAAGAGGCAGTAAGAAAATTGCTGAAAAAGCAAACCAGGATGGAGATTTAGAAAAGCACACGTCTCTTAATGGGAGGGATGGAGAGTACTGAAGTGATCAACAATAGCTTCAGCCTTGCAAAGTGTGATTTACTGACAGGATGATTAAAATTAAAGTACCAGGAATAACAAAAGTAGAGGTGAAAGGCTGTTCAGTTTGGGAATGTTCAGTTAGTACAGCCCAAATTTATCTCAATTTATTTGCTTTGGCTAATAACTTAAGGAAGTTTTAAACTATTGGGTTATAGTGGAGGACTGAAACATCCCTGGAGGACTAGAGGAGATTAACAGTAAGCTCATTTATACAAGGCAGGATTTACAGGCTAGTTGATGGAGTTTATATTCCTGAAAACTACTGGGCCAACCTATTAAACATTTAATTCCTATGGACCTGCAATACTAGTAGGGTGATTAATAAATTCATATGGACTCCTCATTAGGAAAAAAAAAAATTGTTTAAATTAAACAAAAAAGCTTTGTTGGTTTTCTGACCCAGAAAAAAAAAGAAAGATTATGATCACTTGATGATCTTAAGGTCCTTTCCAACCCTAACTATTCTATGATTCTATGACTTTAGTACTGTTACTGATATTGCAATGTTGTGTCTAAGATCCCATGGAAAATGTTGCCCAGCTTGAGCATGGGCTACAAGAGGAGACCATGTCTTTGTTCTAGTGATTTCTGAAAACCAGAACCGTTTTGTAGGGATGCTGAGGGCCATTTTGTAGGGGACAGGCTCCTGCTTAGGGTGGGGCTTCCAAGCAACACTTTTCATCTGGCCACTGCTTGCTGGGCAACTGTTACCTGCAACCACATTGCCGTCACGCAGGCATGCCCTGTGAAGCAGGAACAGATCATGAGCCAAGGCTCTGGCATCCTTTACTTGTCCAGCTGCTGCACGCTGAGCTTACACACAGCACATGCACAGCCACAGTGGCGCAGGTGACTCCAACGGGAGGAGCCTGCTGCCCAAACACACACAATGTGTTTCTGGTTATGCATCATGGAGAAAGGGAAGGTTGTGGTAGTTGCTTGCTTTCAGCAACTGTCTGCTGCAGTGCATGTTTCTTGGCCACTTCTTGCAACCACAGCTCCTCTTTATGAATGTAACAAGGCTTCCTCCTTCCTGGTGTTTTTTCACATAAAATGTTCTCTGTGCATTGCAAACAGTCAGGCTGAATACAGGACAGTTTGGGTATCTGAGTGAGTTTGGCACTACAGTGCAGGTAATGCCTCAAGGTAACAATAGTTTGTATAAACCAAAGGGGATGCTCACTTACATAACTGGGCATCAAGTCTCACCATCAAATCCATGCAAAAACATCATTTTGTTTTTCTATCATTCTTTACTTAGTGGGGAAGCTTTAATGCAAATATCTCTCCAAAGAGAGAAGACTTTAAACAATAACTTCTCAGAAAATGATACTCTTAAAATTTTAAAATATACCTTCTGTTGGTCAAGGGTGATCAGTAAAACAGATCAAGCTGTGCTTGGCAAATAAATCTTGAAACAAGAAACTTTAAAGATGGCAAGATGTAGCCTGTAAAATCTTCTGGCCTGAAATAAAAAGATGAATTTGCAAAGGTGTCAAGGCCAGATGTTATGGCTCATGTTTCCACAGATGTCTCACAAAGACTTAAAGCAGAGTAACGTTTGAATACTTTAGGCACAGCACCAAGATACTATGGACTTAGAAATGTTAATGTGCTACTGCTATGAAGTGATACACTACTAAGGGAAGTCTCTTCCCATCTTTATTCAGTGCTTGTAACGAGAGGCTTTGGTCTGTGTGCTATTGACTTGACACAGAGAAATACTGCAGTGGAATGTAAAGGAACAGCACAGCTGGCTCTGAATTTATTTAACATCCCCTTGTTTACATTGCAATACATATGGGACAAACTGTGCAATGATATTATTTATTATTCTTCCTTTTTTTTTTTCCCTCAGAAATGAAGAGCCACCACTATCTAAGGAGTCTGGAAAAAGGCCTATATAATCATTTCTCAGCACATGGCAGAAATCAAAGCCTCCAGAAACAGATTTTCCAAGTCAGGTTCTGAAGACTGGGTAAGCAGTTTTCAATATACAGAAAAGGAGGCTTAAGTTATGGTCCTCCTTCTGTGTACAGAAATACTAAAATTAAGGATAAAGTCAAGCATCAGTCATGCAGCAAACTGCAAAATGGCAGTATTTCCTGAAAATGCAAAAGAATTTCCTTTTGGGGTTAAGCATGTGTGGCTTAAGTATAAATTCTGCAACATGTAGCATTTGTTACACACTTCTTCACACAAAACCAGCTCTTTTACAGCACATACTCACACCCATGCTAAAGTATTTAACAGCTTATAACAAGGACAATTTACCTGGTGGTATGCAGACTAGCAAAGCGTAAAATTTACTTTATGGAATAAACAGTAGAGTACATGGAATATTGAGGGTAAGGTCAAACACAGCATGTCAGGAGTACACAGGTACCTTTTTAAGGCAGCATGGCACTGGACCAAAATAAAATTAAGATTTTCCTCCATGAGGGGAGTAAGACTGAAATTTTCTTTGCCTTTCTCCATGACCGAAGCCCACAGACCTGTTGTCTCCTCTTGCTGTACGGGAAAAAAGCAACCATTTTGTTTCTGCCTGCATCAAAACACACACAGCCCCACATATGGCTTGCCCAGTTACTCTAACAGATCAGGGTACACGTCCATACAGTTACAACCCATTCAAGCTCAGACTATGCAGGATCAAGTTAACAGCTGAGAACAAAATCTGCCAGAAGCAAACCTCTCTGAGCTGGTATTAGCTGCTGGAGCTCTCACCTCAGTGAACTACAGCTCACATACGAGGAGATAGTTGTAAGAAACAGTACTGTCATAATGTACAACAGTAAGAAATGCTACCAATAAAAAGATGAAAATGAATAGCACTGGTGCAAGGGACAGTATCAGGGAGTTGCTCACATGCTGAGTAGCTTCCTGGATTAGTGAGGCTGCGATAGGCTTAGCAAAGCACCTGGGCATGCACAACAGCCTATTCCTCATAGATCAATGTTTCCCATCAGCATGGTTCTCCCCTGCAGGAAACAGTGCTAATGGTGAAGCTTGTAAAAATGCTTTCCTCTTTGCCCATAGGTGCCATGCAGAGGTCTGGATAACAGTGGACCCTTCTCCTCCAAGTTTGTTGCCAAAGGTGGGAGGGATGGGTGCGTGCTGCAAGCCCAAGAACATCCTAAGAGGGCTGAAGTCTGAACGAGTCAGAAAAGCAGTTGCCTTCCTTGCCCCAGCCTGCAAGCACTCAGAGGATCAGTGTCCAAGAACAGTGCCTAACATCACACAGGGTGCAAGGGCCTTCCTGCCCTTGACTTTCACTCTCTACCATTCTGCCTCCCACTGTTTTTGACCAAATTAGGTTCAAACTCTGCAACCATAAGAACATCCTCTCCAGCCACAGGGATAGTTAAGCTTAAATAGTCTTTCATTCCCAGCTTGGATTTCTGGATTCTCTCCCACTCTTGCACTTCAAATTTTGAATGCGTCGTCCTTGGCCACACAAATGTCATACAGACATTTTTGTACTCAAGAAGCTGCTTCTGGGATACTATTTGATTGCCAAAGCACTCTTAAGTTTAACCTGAAGACTTCTGTGAAAGACATGGAAAAACCCTGTAGAAGAAACTTCAAGTTGTTTTTTTACCTATTAACTTACTCCTAGCTGAAGCATCTCTTGGGTAGCCAGTTTAATGTGCACCAGCTATGTCTAAGAAAAAAATAATTAAGAAAAAAAAAAAGGAAATCCTAGAAATTACAATGGGTTCAGAAACCTGCTGCTTCATGAAGCAGGGAACTAGCGTTCCCACATAGCGCAGACGATGACATACTTTGGCAACAGATAAAAACAAGCCCCATTGTCATGCTCCTCTTCAGAGACGTTTAAGCACTAACATCACAGTGAAGCACTAAAAGCATACTGAAGCTATTTCAGACAGGAAATCCCAGAGGAGGACAGGTCATCATTTAGGCAACTTCATCACACTGGGATGTAAACACAGTGCGCTTTTGGTTCTTAGACAATTGTCCAACACTGTATGTGAAACAAGTGCTTAATGGTGCTTCTGGATCATGACCTTTATCATGGTGTGCATCCAGCTACATAGGTAACACTACCCTGGATCACCACTTCGAGGTGTGGTTGATCTAGTCATAACCTACCACCATGTGAAGGGCTGGCCTCTGCTCACAGGTACTTCAGGCAGATCCAGGGACCCCTCTTTTACTAGCCTATGCTTTATTCTAGTAGCCTCTCTTATTGCTATATATTTTCCCTTTGCAGAGGAAGTTTTAAAATAAGGTATTTCTGTGGAAAAGTCTTTTCTCCAAAAGCAAAGAAAGTAAGTGCTCAGAAATGTAAGCTGGGAGGTAGGCATGAGCGCTTCTGACAGTGTTAAGACAAAGACAATATGTAAACTCCAATGCCCTTAACTTGGTATCAGTACTTTCACCAGAAACCCTTTAAGATTTACGTTTAACAAATACTTACAATATGGGTAAGGATGTGTTTATTCTGTTATGCACCTGACCAGATACAAAGAAGAGACTAGCTTTGGAAACATCTCACAAGTATATTTATTAGTCACAAAGCATGACTCATTTCATACTTTAAATGGCATTTCATTACAGTTCAGCTGCACAAGCCTCTGTTCTCCCTGAAAAGATGCTTGATATGCAGAAGGCAGACTTTAGCGCACAACTTATTTACATACATAAGTTCCTGGATTTGTTTATGTTTGAGGACAGTAGCTCAAGAAAAGTGTTTGTCTTAATCACTTCAAAAGCTTTCTTTTCTTTCTGCACTGTTTATTGTCCGTATCTTCAGTATAGTCAGGAGGATCTGGTAGTACAAAGCCATCAGTCATTTTATAATAGACTGCTGTGGAATCTGATTCAACTATGGCCAAAGTAACTGACAGCGGGGTGTCAGGATCATCCTGTGGGAGTGATGCTTTCTTCATGATCTCTCTCATCCTAGAAGAAGAAACAATCCGTTAGAAAGGAGCCCACAGCCACCCAAGGAAGGCACAACAGTAGAAGTGCACTACTGCTATTTTTATTCAGCTCGGGTTTATTCTGCAAATTTGTCTTCACAAAAGAAAGTATAATATCTATTCTAATAAAAATCCAAAGTTGTATAATCAAGCAACAAAATCAAATTACAAATAATCTTATAAAAATGTACTCAGTTACATACATCTCTGCTGGAAATAACACATGCTTCTAAGCTTTGCTTAGCTATACTATTGTGCACATGCCTCAACCATTCTTCAACTACCACAATCAAAGCAGGACAATCATTAATGGCCTTGTTTTCATTAGATTAAAAAAAAAAAAAGTTAAAAAAAAAATCTAGTTGACTAACACATGGTGTTCAGTTAGAGGACAAAATAATTAAGACTTGTTCTATTTGCAGAAGTAAGTCTTCCAGTCTGTGCCACACTTCTGTGCCAGATTGTGGAAGACCCAGGAACTGAAGCCAGGTTTCTCTACTTCCCTGTCTAGACTAGAAGCCACAAGACTTCTTCAAAACAGTCACATAAATAATGTCATCCTTAAAAATTCAAGACAAAGTTAAGCATTTTTCCTGTTCAGCTTATTTTAAGAATAACATGTCAGTTACTTTTCAGTACAGAGCTGAGAACAACACTTCTTCCCAGAGTCTACTGTTTGAGCAAGTACTGCAGGAGCACAGTGTCCAGAGGCAGAACAATGACACTCGCCATCACAAGCATTTCCACAGGGAGCTTTCTCCTTGCGCTCAAGATCAGGTGCAAGAGGGCTCATCTGATATTGCCAGGACAGTTTACAGTCTGCGGAGAGGTCAGCTATGCAGTGTGTGTGGGAAAATTAAAACAGAAATCTCCACTCACTTCACACCCCTAAGATCTCACTCACCATAAAACATGCATTTCTGAAGCTGGGCACTGTAGCTGAAAATAAGGCTCTTTCTAAATGCACCAGCTTTCAAACTTTAATCATTATCTTCCTTTGAAACTTCTCTGATCCCTTAATAAAAGCCAAATGAAAAGTGGCAGAGAATAAGCAGCAACCTGGAAAGACTGTGCTATTAAGCCCATGACCCCCTTAAGTATCCATCTGTGTTCTGAACTGTTCATAATTCAGCTTGGCTAAATTCAGAAGTGCCTTTTCTTTTGCTTTCACCACTGGCCCATATATAATGCAAGCAAGGCAATACAACATAATTAGTTATTTCATGCAACAGATACTAAGGCTGTGAAAAGCCATACTCTGGTTCTCCAACCATGAGCACATTCATAACAAGAGAACAAAAGATACTGTATTGGCCACTGACAGAAAAGAGACACCTGCAAGAGGCTCATACTGCTACTGGCAGAGACTCTGAGGAAAGAACTATACATGGCTTTTATGAAGCAGCAGATATTAACATCTGTCCTGGGAATGCAAATTAGAACTGACAATAAAAAGCCAAATAGAAGGGCACAACTACCCAGGAGAGATTGAGACCCAGTGAAACCAAACTTATTTTAAATGTGGACAGTCCTGTATCTGGAAGCAGACTCGGTCAGAGGCCTTTATTCACCTGTTAGCCAGGGCAGAAGCTCCTTCCTATTTTCTTTAGTAACTGTCACCATTTCTCCTCCTAGTATATCAGTGGGACAGATGTTACAGTGAGGTCTTAGTTCTAGATTTTCTACCACCCATAATTTCTTCTTATACTGCCAAGCACAGATATCTGAACCTTTATTTCCCCCCATTATGCATTCAGACTTAGAAGATACACCATGATCCCAAAACTGGCCACATCCTGACAACAAACTGACATTTCTTCACATGCTTAACTTACTTTTCAGGATACTGAGTTTCAGGATTTATATAAAGAGCACAAAGACTTAGGCCATTGCCTCAGGATGATCTTCTAACACTACTATCTACAGAGCCCAATGCTTTTCACTGCACAATTGGAATCAGCCTCTATTGACATAAAGAATTAGAACTGTAAATGCAAATTTCTCCTCTTGCCACTTTTCTCAATACAGGCAGCCCCAAAACAAGAGCTCCCATTCATGCATACCACAACTAGCCATAATGCAGTGCTGAACATCTGCAGATCAGTGAGAGGGTATCTTTTAAAATAACAAGCTTCAGAATTCAGGAAGTCTGTATCAGATGCCTGTGTTTCCTCTCCTTCCCTGAAGGCATCACTGTTAGTCTCTGCATCCAGCGTGTTCAGTTTCTCTGCAGCAGCAGACATTTCAAAGAAGAAGTCAGAGAACATCTGGGTTTCTGCCAATTTCACTGCACTTGCTACCTGCCACAAACAGAAAGATGAAATATTACAGGAAATGTATAGTTCTTTTAATCCTTTTGACTATCTATCACTGTCTATGGAGGGGGGAAAGTAGTAAGAAGTGTTCTTGGCCCACTGAAATTCAAAGGAATGCAAAGAGAAATGGCTTTATACTGAAAAAGGGTAGATTTAGATTAGATATTAGGAAGATATTCTGTACTGTGAGGCTGGTGAGGCACTGGCAAAGGTTACCCAGAAAAGTTATGGCTGCCCTGTCCCTGGCAGTACTCAAGGCCAGGCTGGATGGGACTTTGAGCAACCTGGTCTAGTGGAAGGTGTCCATCCAAGAGAGGAATTTTCCATCTCTCACTATCTTCTTTTATTCATAAAAGACTTTTGTACAAGTACCTAGGCCTTCAACACACATCAGAAATCCGTACAGTCTTTCCTACTGATCCACTCCTAACAAAATAACATCTCATTCCAGAGAAAGAAACAGGTATATGACTGGTGAACTTCAGCTGTAGCTTGAGGTTTTAACTTGTATCCAAAAAGGAAAAAAAAAAAAAAAAAAAAATAAAAAACCAAAAACAAAAAACCAAGAGTATTTCAGTGGTTTGTCCCATGCAAGCCCCTCTGAGAAGCAGCAATAAAACTGAACGCTCAGAGATGTTTTATAGTGGTTACATAGAGCTTCATTAAACTGAAATGGAACTACTGCCTTCCATACCAAAAAAGCCAACAGCTTTCAATCTGCCCTTTATACTTGGATGAATAATTCATTGCAGGCTTGGCCCGCCCAAACAGCTCCCTCTCCTCCATACAAGGCAGGGCTGGAGAGTTAGCACAAATTGGTCTCTGTACCACTACACAGAGATCATTACCCTGTGCATCAGTGTGCACCACTGTACCTGACTTTTTTGAATAAGCCTCATGACAACAGAACCAAGGTAGAAGAAACCTCCCATAAAGCACAATACCTTGAATTTAGCCAACAGTATTAAACCAGCACAGCATGGCTCGCCACTATTCCGGACCTAGCGGCAGGGCAGGCAACAATATTAGCTTAGTGCCTTGAGATACATTGTATCATGTGGTATCATTGAGATACATTGTATCATCAAGATACATTGAGATACAATGTATCATGTGGTGGTGGGAGAAAGTCTTGTCTTTGCTGTCTATTTACACTATGTGCCTCATCGGTCAGGAAAAGGAACTGAAACCCCAGGGAACATAATTTTTTTTTTTCATGGAAACTGAAGAACAAAACAAAGCATGCAAAAGGGAGGAATCAGAATTCAGCAAAGCTCTACAAGACACACCAGCTGTAGGATGTTCAATCATAACACTGCATAACCAACTCAGCTGTATGAGCCACAACAATCACTTTTAAACTATTAATGAAGAGTTTGCATTTAAAACCAATTAATTGCATTTGCAATGTGTGATTTGCTGTATGAGTAAACTCAAGTGATGCTTATAGCAGAAGAGTTACTGACAAAAATGAAGATGATGCATGGCACACTTGCAGTGCATTTAAAGTAACAGTACTTCTTACAAGCAAAACCACTTCAGATTAGAGGACGATCTGTTTCACAAACTACAAATTTAAAAGAGGATAAATCACTTCTGGTCCTCAGATTTGCTTCTAAGAATGTTTCTCAGCTTTAAAATTGAAGCATTTATGTATTCCTTTTCTAAAATTACCATTTTAATGAAATAACCCTTTCCTTCTTAGCCTAAACCAAACTTTGCAGTCTCCATAACCTCATGCAACTGACTTTATCCTTCATTTCCAGCAATTCTGTACTAAATAGAAACAGGGCAGTGACATAGCATTTAATCTGATGTGTTATTAGTAGCATTTTGCTTGGACAATGTTATTTGTCTAGGACAGACAACACATAACTCCATCAGATCCAGCATCTAAGTCCCTGGTTCTTGGAAGGGTCCCTGGAAAGCCACAAGGCTTTCGACACTATCTAGAAAATCCAGCTGTCAACACTGTTCTCCTACACTTGCTGAGCTTCGTTTATGCAAGTCACTGCTGCTAGCTCTGAAGCAGGACTAACTGCTCCCTCCGATTTGAGGAGCTACAACTCTGGAATGTACTGACAATTGGGTACCTGGTGTGTACTAAAGTGTCATCTGCAACAGTTAGCAGCAAAGATGTCTCAGCCAATGGACTGACAAATTCCTCCCCAAGTATGAATCACTTCTAAATTCAAAGGCATACAAACACAAGGTTCTCCAAACCTTAGCCAGCTGTGTGTGGTTGTCAGTGATCCAAGATAAACAGAAGTTGCATCTTATTCTCCAGGTCTTTATTTACAGAAGATTCAGCAATCATCTTTCTAAGAGCACGCATGCACACCATGAAGCCATTTCTCAGACTGTGTGAGACTACCACTGACACTGGTGGTCACTTTGCTCCAGACCCCATAATTTTGTGATTCAGTGCAGCTTTACACTGGCAGGGCAGGATGATCAACTTTCAGCAAGCTGTTTGTAGAAGCAGACAGTAAGCTTAGTAGCGGAACAGCTTTTGCTTTAAGCAGTTAATTGTCATGCATAAAGTGGACATGATGAAACCTTATAATAGGCTAGGGTGCTCATCACTTGCTTAGGTGTCTTGCTGGTGATTTCTACAGCAACTTTACTATGGCCTTCTAAGGACACTATCCTCTGAGCATCAGCCAAGTAGGAATCTTCATGAGACACCTGGGAAGGCAGAGCTTGGCTGAAGTGGCTTTGAGAGGAAAACCACCCTTGCAGACCCAGGTCTTACTGGTTAAGCAAGGAAATGCTGTCCATAAATGCTGCCATTTGCTAGCTGCTTTTGCAGTTAGGACATTTCCAGGCCTAGCAATAAGGACAGGATGTTTTCACCTTCCTAAGCCCCTTCAATGGTTTACTTTCAATAGAAAGTGAGCTGCATTCACCTGTACTCATACCTCTTCCTCTACACCTTTAGCAAGTAACACAAAACCCTGAAGCATTGCTTTGAACAAAACAGCAAAGCACCCAAGTAGAAAAGCTTTTCTGTCTATCTATAGCTTGGGAAGTCAAATGAGAAAGTTATCATTTAAGACATCAGATACCTAACAAGCCTCCTGCTATCAATAATCACAACAAAACACTCATCACTGTCAAAACAAAGAAGCAGCAGTACTGTAATACTGCCTCCAACTCCTTCTGTAGGATGCCTTTTTAATGGCCGCCCTCTGTGCTATGCAGCTTTGAGCTAGCTACTGTCTACACCCCCTGGTTTTTGCCTACTGTTCCAGCAAAGGAGCTGAGGAGTTGATGCTGGTCTTTCCCTACAAGGACAGACCAGGTCTCTTTGCATCAGCACTAATGAAATGCCAAGCATACATATGCACATGCTTGTTTAATAACACAAGCATAATAATACAATATAAGCATATATAATCTTCCTGTCTGACACCACCTATGGTTATCGAACACATACAGGCTTTAATGGATTCAGCTGGCATTACAGCCCAGTATTCAGCTTTGTTTAGTGACAATATGCTCTGTGTATTTGGTCTGTACCCAAACCTAGTCACAAACTGTACTTTCAGTCAATGTGATACATTCACTTTTTGCTTCTCTAACACACATCCTTCCAGTAATGGATTCCATCTGCACTGGTGCCAGAAGCAGAGCAAACAGTATCACCACAGTACAAACAAGTTCAGAGGCTCCAAATGAAAAGCTCCAATGAAACAGTAAAAGATAGGACATACATGCAGTGCAATCTCTCACTGTCATTAAAAGCCAACTAGAACATATTTGCTGGCATTGATCCAATGACAGGAATCAAAGTCTCCAACCTAGGTGAAAACCTCTTACATTAAACAGGCATAGCAGCTCAGCACATAGACGCAATTTCTCAAAGATCCCATATCCTAATTTGATGCCTTCTTTTCCCACCTAAAATCTAGTCCGAACTGTGAATAGCAGCGTGTCCTTTTCACACACAGTGATCTGCTTCTTGCAGAGAGGCACTCAGCATTCCATCCTGCAAGACCTCTCAGCAGCTTTCCTCTGTTGTGGAGAACACACCGTATTTCTCTTTCAGACCAAGCCCCCAGGAGCGATTGACCAATACTTGCAAATGAAACATTTTTTCAGCACATATAGTACTCAAATCCATCAATATCTAGTAAGTTATTTTCTTCCCCCTCACAAGTACGCACTTAGGAAAAATATGCAACAGAATGAAGATGGAAGCCTGTTCGCAAGGGGCTCATCTGTCACTACTAAAAACCTTAAAAAGAAAAAAAAGCAAAAACCATAGCATGCCTAAAACATCATTCCTAGAGTGCACACAAGTCTGCTAAGTGCAATTCACTAGCTACCTACTACTATGTCAGGCTGCTGCCCACACAGCAAGAGGAAACAGCAAACACTAGCAAGATCTGTAAAGCCAGCCCTGAGCACATGGTCCTAGCAAGAGAATGAACAGAGGAAACTGAAAAATGTAATACCATATGATGCAGCTGAAATAGTTGAGGTCTTCAGAGACATCCTAGGAAAGAATGGCAAATACCAGCAAAAGAAGGCAGCCATTATCAGAGAGTAAACAACACTGTGTGTTTGAGGCTGTTCTAAGGGCCAGCTAAAACATACTGTAAAATTACTCAAGTGGAATTTCTCTAGGCTGCAAACATCTGCAATATCACAAAGTCATAGGTTAGCTGTCCTCTGCTTGAGAATTACTTAGTCTTGCATATGTCAGGAAAGCAAGTATAAAAATCATAGCTCAAGGGATAGTTATACATTAAACTCTGGGTAAGTAAAAGGAATTTACAGTTGGAAGCAGCCAAATTATACTTTCAAAACAAAAAGCAGACCAAACCAAACACACCAGGCTTATCCATAGATTAAATGACTAAAAAAAAAAAAAAAAAAGATTTATTTTCAGACAGAAATTCTCCTGGACCTTTCTTCTTAAATACTTTAAAGCCCAGTAACATAAAAAAGCATTGCTAGATTTTTCCAGACTACATAAAAGCAACACAAGAATGTTCAAAACATAAGCTGTGAAGGTCTTATGTTCTAACCCTGTCTCTCAAACACATACTTTTACATCCATTGTTATCTCCTAAAGCGTATGCAACTTCTAAACAACATGAAGTGTTTATCAGCAGGAGTCAGTTGCTGTGGGAAGCTGACATCAATGGCATACCACTTTCAGAGAGGGAAAAGCAGAGACTGACACAGCTTAGAAAACTAAAGAAATCTCAACTTTGCGTGTATGCTTGCAGCACCCAAAAAAACAACACTGCTCACAGGCTGAGGTATTGCTTTCCTCTGACACTCCTTTGTCTTCTCCCCCATCCCCTTTTGACCAAGTCATCAGCAGCCTATTAAATACCTTACTGATAATGTGAACCAAACACTGACCACATCCTTACCTCTCATGGCTCAATAATACATGCACAGGTATCGGCACCATCACTTGGAGACTGTCCTGTTCTTTTTCACGTGCATGTAAACATACGAGCTGCAGTTCTGCTACTCCAACATAACTCACTTCATGCCAGTTTCTCCCTAAAAAGGTTCATCATCAGTGAGAAGGACCGGAACACAAAACACAAGTTTTAATCATTCAAATATCCAATTTGGTATTTAAGTTAACATCTAGGACTGTTTCCCTCCCTCCCCTCACAGGAGATTTCTCATGAGAGACAACTGCCCTCTGGAACCATCAAGCTTGCCTTCTGAGACACAGTGCTGTTAAAGAAACCCAGGGGAACAGTATTCGTCTGCTTACTCTAGAGCTACACTTTTTCATGGTGAGTAGGGATCTGTCTGACAAAGCTTTGCTTCAAAAAGGCAAAAAGAAGATAAAAACCACACAGCTTTAGTCATCTGCAGCATAAAACTGCAATCCAAATTTGGACTTTATCAGTACCCTAAAACTGTGAAGGAGCAGGTGCTAAAAGCATGATTAACGGTAACACACAGTTCTTCCCTTATGGTTGAAGGGGTAAGTCTGAAAGTTTTTTGCTGCAGAATTATAGGAGCCTTCTCTTGGTTATTGAGGCGCTTTCTTCAGAGGTATAACAGTAACAGACACAGTGCTTTCTGGTCTGTAAAATCCCTCCCTTCCCTAACCTTGAGAACCACCAGCCTTCAAAAGAAAACAAAATATTTTTATTAGGCTGGCTGCCTGCCTACACATAGTCCCTTTTCAATAAAGCCAACCTGGCAGAATTGCAGGCAGAAGTTCATATACCAAGTAACTCTGCTCCACTCCTACAAGACACCAGAACACTACACTGCATTTGTCATAATTACTGCCACCAGACTGCTAAATGATATTGTTAAAGGAATCCTTACCCTCTCCAGAAAACAGCATCATAATCAGGGCAGCATACAACACCCAGTTGCTAAAACACTGACTTAGTAACTTCGACATTAATCTACAAATAAGGACTCTATTACCAGCACAACCACTAAACTTGCAACTTCACTTTTCCATGTTCCTTTTCCTTCCCCTACTCTTCTTCTGATTTTTTTTTTTTTTCCATGCAGAGTGTCTTTGCCTGGAAGAGAATGGGCCCTCATCTTCTTAAAGGCTCCAGATGGGTACAGGATAGAAATCCTCAATGCCAAAATACTGTTTCTTAGGTAGCCATCACCACTAAGTTTCAAAAATAACACCAAAGACTTTGTAGGAAAGGTCCTGACAGTGGACAAACTTCAACAGCACCTAAAGGCAAAAAAAAATTTATTCACTGAATTACCTTCTAAGAGGTCCAAGTAAACCACAAATGCAGCATAGATTTGAGAACTGTCAGATATATCGAGAGACATCATTTCTGTGAGCTGAAACCCAAAAAAGTAATGTTGGTGAAGGAAAGCAGAAGTTATATTAAGAATGCACAGTCCAAACCCAGAATTTGTAGAGCTGTCTAAGCCACTGAAATCTGAAGCCAGCTTTAAGGAACAACAGCAATTAAAAAGCAGGACTTGTTTTCTGACAAGCTGGGTTTTTCCACATTCCTCCTATTTCGGTGCTTAAGAAAGCAAGCCAAATAAAAATAAAGAATCACAACTATTTCTGGAACAGACCTAGCTTTGTGGAGAAGGGCTATGAATTTTACCTATTTTTGCTACAGCACACCAACACAGGATGACAGCCAAATTAAACACTGTTTTCAAATGTGTTCAGTATACTAACAATTAAGAGGCAGTAAAAGTTTAGGACGGTTGTGTTTTCCAGGTGCAGTTTCAGCATTTACAACCTCATTCTCTACCTCAAGTGGCATTCCGCAACAACCCCACCGGTACTCCTCACGGGCCGGGAGCCGAGACCCCTCAACAGGCTCAATACAACCAAACACGATACATTAACATCTCCTCCTGCCATCACCTACGTGAGGTGCCCCTCAAAGCCATGGTGGAGGGAATCAGGAGCCGGAGCAACGGGCCTTGGCAGGAAAGCGGGACGCCCACCCCGCGTGACTGAGGACCCCCCACCTCCCGTCAGCGCCCGGGCATGGAGGACCGAAGCGCTCCGCAGCCCCAGCGCAGCCCACATGCCCACCGTGGGGTGAGTCGCCATCCAGTTTCCGCCGGCCCCCTCGGCCCAGCCGCCCTCGTCCCCCGGCTCCTGCGTGCGGGCGGAGGTGCTCCCCGACAGGCCGCAGCTCCCCTCGGCCGAGCCGGCCGGCAGCTCCATGCTCTCCCCGGTGCAACACAATTGGGCTCCGGACAGCGCCACGCAGCCTTGCACTCCCCGACAGCCTGCGCTGCTCCCGTTCCGCCTCCACTTTGTTCCGCTGCGTCCCCCATCCTCGGAGCCGAGAGTCTTCCTCCACGGCCAGAAGCGCTGCATTAAGCCCTATTTAAACGCTGTTTACGGCCAGACTGACACATATACCTTATCACAGTATGTCCTTTGGCAGTCCCTTTTTCTAATCACAAGTATATTATTTTGCAAGGAGGCAATATTATTCCTTCATGTAACATTAGTGGAAGTCCCCTTGGAAAGAGAGAGAGAGATACCTAGACAGAAAATGTGAAGGGAGAAGAGTAAAACAGAAACAAAAGCAAAAACATGGTATTAATGTATGGTTTCCAGAGTTTTTACAGACTGGTTAAGAGATTTATATTCAAGCTATTGTTACTCACAGCATCTTGGACTGCTTTAGTTAGAAATATCTCTGACTTCCAACATGAATATAGTTTGCAGTATCGCAGGACTGGCTTACCAGCTCCATCTGCTTGGCACCTCTTTCGATAAATTTCAAACACTGGCTTAAATGAAGTCAGCCTGTCTTTACAGCATTTTGAATAGCTTCAAGCTTGTGTCCATGAACACATCCCACCCCCCCCCACCCCCACCCCCCCCCCAAAAAAAAAAACACCAAACCCAAAACACTGTGTGCTGTCTTTAACAGACATATACAACAGATCATATTGTAACATTAGATGAGAGACTCCAAAGCCCTTGCTTGTATGCTGTGCCTGTTCTTGATGAGGCCACCCTAAGGAAAATCTGGCTCATGCTGGAAAACGCAAAACATCTACACTGATTAGAGGAAACACGAAGTATGATCTTGAGATGATCACATTGATGCAGGTCCTAGTAAAAAGTTATCAGTGTTGCCTTTACCTCATCTTCTTTATAGGCTTAATGATTATTATATAATAAAGCATCAATGAAAATTGATCTCCATGTATTGAGTACATTAATTTGGTGAGTAGTTTGTAGCCAGCACTTCAATTCTCTGGGCACAAAATAAAAATAAAACAAATAAATAAAAAAGTCTTTGAGACTTTCATGGAAGAGTGGGCAACAGTGTTTCACTTGGCTGCTGCACTCATGCTGCAAAAGAACTGCATGGATGTGAGTCGTCAGAGGTGAAGAAGCAAATGTTTGCCTCTGTTCCTGACCACTGCCTTCTACCTGACTGTTATGGCAGCCTCCATGGTCTGTGCAGTGCTACCAGCCATCTGAGCTGTTTTTCACAGACACAGTGGATGAGAATTTCCCCATTTATCATACTCGTAATTGTCCCATGAAAGACTTACTTTCCTAGCTGAAAGGTCAGCCTTCTGGAAGAGCCAAATTTCTTGTAAAAGAACCAAAATATCCTGGACTAAGATGGGCCACTGATGGATAGTTTATGAATTGTATCCCTGCTCATGGCAGGGTCTTGGAACTAGATGATCTTTAAAGTCCCTTTCAACTCAAACCATTCTATGATTTCAGCAAAGGAGATAGTCTTTTCTATAGACTCTTGTAGGTCCATATATATGATATGCTTTATCAGAAAGATGGATCCTCTGTTTTCTGCTGCATGGGAATCAAGTCTAAATCACAAGAAAACTTCCTCTGAGAGAATTTGTTACCTGCCAAACAAATTCTCCCAGAGAGAGTATGCCACTACCAGAGAGAGTTCTCACAACTGGACTGCTCTTGTTTGCCACGGATATTTAGAGAAGGGTGAAAAAAATGGCCTAAATTTATTTCTATGTGACATCTGCAAAAAGCTGTTTCTTCTTCAAAGCTAGAATATTTCACCACAAAGTAGTTAATTGTCCTGTCAAAGCAGGACTGAGTGTTGCCTTTAAAAAATACAGGATATAACTTTGGCCACTGATGAAGAAGTCAAAATGCATAGATTTCTTTGTATATACACATAAAGATATATGCATTTATAGATATAAGAATGACATGAATTGTAAGGGTAACTGTTTACCTGAACTTTCCTAACTTTTACCCATGCTCTGTGGCTGGGAGTAAGAAATTAAGCTGAACTGTCTCCTTTCTCTTACGCATAGAGAGGCATCTCATGTTTCAGGCATCTACTGTTCTCTTTCCTGGGTAAGGCCAGATTTTTTTCTTTTGTGTACCAGTATGAAGCAGCCAGCAAAGTGAGTTGTGTGACTGAGGGGAACATTGTTTTGAACAGAAAACTACCATTTGTAGGATGCTGCTGAAGGCATTGCCTTTGCCCCCAGCAAATTGTTACGGTTCTGGTGCCGCTCACAAAACAAAAAAAAAAGGGAATAGTCTGAAAAGACACAAAGGTACTTTTGATTTCACTGAAGACATCAAGAGCTGCACAAGCTTAAAAGCATGCTCAAACTTCTGTAAACATGCTGATTGCAATAATGTGTGGATCGCACCTTTACCTTTACACTTTGCTTTGCATGTAGGAGAGAGCCATGGCTCTGCAGTCTCTGCCTCTCACATCTTCCTTTGTTTCTGGGGGGAAATAGTCTCTGCTTGGCCCTGACCCTGACTTGGCCACGGTGGCTCTGGGCTACAGGGGAAGGCTGTGCCTACATTCCCCCATCTGCGAGGGGAGCACTCGGTACACAGACTGTGCTGTTGCACCTGCACCTTCAGAGGAGTCATGGCAAAGAGGTGTTACAGGAGGTGAATGTTTCTCCTAAAGCTGCCACGCAACCTCCTAAAAATGGGATTGTGACCCAGCTTAAACATCCCTGGATCCATGTCGGTGGAAAAAAAACAGCTCTCAGCCTTCCACATCAAGCATAATTCAGTAGCATTACTCCCCATCCTCCAAATGCAAGTGGTCTCATGGGAGACAGTGGCATTGTGTGGATTTGGCTGGCTCCTGCAAAATCCTAATCACTTCATACAGACTACAAAGCTGCTCCTTCTATTTGGTTAATGAATCCAAGCATAAAAGCAACATGTGGCAAATTAACCATGAAAGAAAAGCCTCATTAATGTATCATTCTAAAAGGACAAATTATAAAGGTGTTGTGAAGGGCAAACTGGAGGAACATATTTTCATTAATTGTTGGGGAAGATGCTTACAAATTACAGAAGCTTCTCAAATTTTAGTGCAGATGATTTGACCTCTGTAAATTTTTTATTGAAGTTAACTGTTTTCCTGGGAAGTTTCTTTTTGCACTAGTTTTGTGGAGAGTCATCTGGTCAGGAAACTGAGGCAATATAATTTGGTGTGGGTGATAAATCATGTTCTGTAAACAAAGAACACTGCACACATGAACTATATATATGCTGCTTGGGCTGCAAACAATTCACAATGAATTCAGGGATAATTGCTAAACAATTGTCTGTTTGCTAAATGTTTCCTCTGAGTCTTGCAAGCACACAGACAACAGTGCTGCCTGCTTAAAGTGAATCTTTGCAAGCTGCAGGAGCTACTTACTCACAGTAAAAACCGGATAGACTGTGATGGGGTCCTTAGAGTTAATTAGAGATTTCATTCTGAAAAGGATTTAACATGCCCAAATCCTATTAACTTCTGAAAGAGCGGAGATTACTATGCCCCTTTCAAGATCATGACCCAATAATTTTAATTGCTGTAACGTGTTTTATTTATTTTGTTGTTTAACTGCTGTCGCTCCATTCATGGGAACGTTCCTATAGTGGACAAGTCAGTGAAAATTTCAGCAATATTCCAGCTGGAGAACTGCACCCTCCACATCCCTCCTGCAGTGTAGAATGCTGACGGTGTGTGAGCCTGCTTTGTCATCCTGGGGATATTTGCAAAATACTTTTTGACATAAAAAGTCTATCCCTAATGGGTGGGAAAGATGAGGGTGAGATCTTCACGTAAGCAGCAAACTGAGATCTCTTTGCTTGGAGGGTAGGCTATAGCAGGAACTGCCAAATGGCTCTTTCCAACCTAAAAACTCGGTTGATAAATGCAGGTTTCACAACTTTTACCGGACCGAACTTGCGCAGGTGCGTACCGGCTGGGCTTGCCTGGAGGAGAGGGGAGAAGAGGATCTTCACCCGGTCTCTCCCCCGGCGCCCCGCTTCCTACTCAGCGCCCCTGCAGCCTGCGGAGGGAGGGCCGTACGGTGCCGGGAGGGGAGCGCTGGGCTGTGCTGGCCACGAGGGCCGGGTTCAGGGGCGCGGGGCCGGGTTCAGGGGCGCGGGGCCGGGCGGGCGGGCGGGCAGGCGGCGACGCTGCTCCTCCTGTTCCTCCCCGCCGTGCTGGGCGCGCTGCAGCGGCAATCCCGCACTGCTGGCGCGGCTCCTCGCGCCCATCATGGCTGCGTGCGCCGGGCCCCTCGACCCCCGGCTCCTCACCCTCCTCCTCCTTTTCCTGCTGCTGAGCGGCTGCGGGGCCAACTTGCCCCCGGAGCCACCGCCACCACCGAGCCCCGAGCCCGAGCCCCAGCCCGAGCCCGAGCCCGAGCCCGAGCCCGAGCCCCAGCCCCAGCCCCAGCCCCTGCCCGAGTCGGCTCTGCAGAAGCCCACCGTGCTCCTGGCCATCATCGCCCGCAACGCGGCGCACACCCTGCCTCACTTCCTCGGCTGCATCGAGAGGCTGCACTACCCCAAGAACAGGATAGCCCTCTGGTAAGGGGAAGGGGGCGAAGCAAAGCTGAGGGACCTCGGCGCAGGGCTGTGGCCTGGACCCTACAGCCCCTCAGGGAGCGAGTAGAGCCCCGGCTTCCCTAGCCCTGCTTGTTCCTGGCGGGGGACTCCCGCTCCAGTCGGCGAGAGGGGGCTTTGCGGGGAGCCGTAGGCACTGCCGTGCGGAAAAAGCGGGAAGCGGATGCCTCAGCTCCTCCGGGCGTCCCCTCTCGCTCTCCACCGGGAGAGAGGGCCGTCCTGCCTCCGCGCAGCGCAGGTAGCCGGGGCAGAGGCACGGAGGGCGCAGCTCCCACCGTTGGAGCTAAAGAGCCGGCGTTTGTCTTTGGCACGCCGGGAAACAGCTCTCCCACCCGGCAGCTGGGCGAGGGATGCCGGGTCCTCCCGAGAGCGGCTCCACGACCCGCGTGTTCTGAGAACACGGTCGCACGGCATCACGGCAGCGGGGGGAGGGAGGGCTTTGCTGCAGCGGTACGCAGTGTGATAGCGAGCTGAGGTTTTACGAGCGAAGCTGGCCT